AGGGGCGCTCGCCGAGGTGAGGCCACTCGGGGCTTCGAGGAGCGACGAGAGCGACCGATGCCAGCCGACCTCCGGCTTGGACTCGCGCAGCCCCGGGCACGAGTAGCCGGTCGCCTCCGGGTACTCGCGCAGCCAGTCGGAGGCGTATTTCTGATGCTCCGTGTTGGGCGTCACCACGTGGCGTACTGGCCCGAGGGCGGCCAGCGCATCGCGCAGCGCCGAATCGAGCTCCACGGGCGAGTGCACCCACAGCGTGCCGTCGGGAAGCCGCACCACCGCCATCTTGCCGCCGACGTCGGTGCCCTGGAGCCCGGGCAGGCGCGGGAAGAAGGGCCGCTCGGCGAGCCATACGTCGTCGTGGACCTGCGTGAGAACGGATCCCTGTGGATTGGACCAAGAGATGTCGCGGTCGCGCCAGTGCGCCGGCGCCGGCCGGCGCAACGGCACCAGCGCCTCCGCCAGCTGCAGGGACGTTTGCGGACTCCTCTCGCGATCGCGGAGGAGCGACGTGGCCGGCGTGCGGACCAGCGGCCGCACGATGGAGAGGAGCGAGAGGTGGAGCGAGACGCACATGTGCACTTGCTGGCTTGGGGGCGCCGGCGTGGCGCCCACAGTCCTCCTGCGATCGGCGCGCGCGCGGTTCGCGGTTTTTGCGCAGCCGCGCCGCCAGGCAGCCCGCCCCGACGTGACGCCGCCCTTCTTTTTCCGAAACTAGTGGGGACCTGCGGCGGACCCGCCTCTGTTGAGTGTTGTTCGGGCAGTGAGAGACGCAGGATCTGCACGCCAAAGTGGGGCCACTCCGCATTTTCATTTTGGTTTTGGGTTGTCGGAGATCATCCATCAGCACTCATGTCTCATCAGTCAGTCACGTCAGTCAAAGCAGTCGTGGCACGTGGAGCAGTCGCTGCATGCAACGGCGCCGCCACACGCTCCGGACGACCGCCCGACAACCGACACACCACGCACAATGGGAGGCTATCGCGCACGATCGGGCATCGCGCCGCAAACAACTCGCCTGAGGGAGGGTGTAGAGGATGTAGAGTGTAGAGCGCTGTAGAGATGTAGAGATGTAGAGATGTAGAGCGCTCTGGAGCGCTGTAGAGCTGTAGAGCTCTACATCCGCCGCGTGACGATGTGAGTCGCCTGTAGAGCGATGTAGAGGCGCTCTACAACGTGAAATCTCTACAACAAACTCTACATCATAAGCGGCGAACGAGGCACGGTCGCTCTCCGACATGAGGCGCGTTGCACTTGCCAGTGCTGCCCTGGCCTTCTGTCTGCCCGCCCAATGGGTGGCAGGTGCCTCTGCTGCTATGGCATGCCTCACGGCTGCGACTGGCCGGCGCCTCGGCGCGTCAGCTCGGCTCGGCGTAGCGATCGTGGCCAGCGCAACTCGCTTGGACTCAACGCTCAGCCAGGAGCTCCCGCACGCGCTGGCGCGAGTCATGGCGCATGCAACGCTCAACAATGCTCTCCTCGCCTCGCGCAAATGCGGCCGTCCTCGCAGCCGACAGTCCACCGCCTGCTAAAGAAGCACAGCGACGAATGCGGCACCGGCGACGCATGGCAGGCTGGTCATGACGCAGTTGTAGGGTGTTGTGTGCCGTCAGAGTGACTCTCTGTGTGTCAGGGATAGTCAGGGCCGTCCATCAGAGCTCCAGTAAGCTCGGAGACACCCCATTAGCGCGGCTCGACCTCTTTGAGTCACTGCCTTCCCGGCGGTTTGGCTGTAGAGCCTCTACAACCAACTCTACAGCAAAATCGCGCTCTACATCGCTCTACAGGCGACTCACATCGTCACGCGCCGGATGTAGAGCTCAC